CATATGCTAGCTTATTCAAAATTTAGTCTGTGGAGGTCTTATACATACAGGTTTAGGTTATCAAGTCACATGGAAGCTTCCTTAACTCCAATAATGCTCAACGGTACAATTAGTTGTTCAATGAGTGAAATTATTGGGATAACAGATTGTTCTACCATCAATGTGCTTATTTCTATTGTATCATGTGACTGATTTTCTTATTGGGAACTGTTGTAGGGTTAGTTTGTATTGGACCATTGGTGACACCAACATGTTATCCTTTGTGTTGGTGTTCCCTCAGCATCACTCTGGTATGGTTCTAAATCCGATTTCTGGCATTTAGTAATGAAATTGCGGAGAGAAGCTTTGTCTTGGAAAAATCGAAGGTTAATAGTATATTTCAGGATAATTTGAGTCCCTTTTTTTTAAATTTTTATAAATGTGTAAAATAGTTGTCTTTTAACTCAATGTTAAACTAATGAGATTTAAATCCTAGTTTTTTTTCTTATCACTTTGATTTTAGGCATAATTATATAGCGCTTCACTTGGGTCAAAGTTTCTATTAAATTCTAGATTTTCTTAATATCATATTGCAAATAATTTAATTGTTTGTTTCGTAGTGGTTTTTAAATGTTCTGTGTTTTTATTGTTGTGGGAATTTCCTTAGATTATTTGCTTGGAAATTGTCCTTTTTGATTTGCTTCCAGTAACTTTTAATTCCTGTCTTTTGCTGGATTTAATATTTAAGTACCATTTTATTCAGTCCAGCTTATTTTTGTTGAACTTGAATATAACAAATCTGTCAGTTTTACCTGCTTTCTCTTCGTTCTCCTCTTTTTTTATCCTATATGATGACTTCTGTTAGAAAGATATTTTCTGAATTTATCACTAGACATGTTTTATGCTTCCTTTATACTGAATTGTTCCAGTCTTCTTGTTCCTTCTCTCTTATTACTCGCAGTTCTTCTGTGTATAACAAAATGTGGATGGATGCTTGCTGCTTATGTGTTATTTGCTTATTCTGTCAATTTTAGATTAGCTTCATACTTGTGGGAAGTTGAAAGGGTCTATTTGTGTTAGCTTTTAAGATGATCCCTGGACTAATGTCCCTGGTTGACGCATACAGGTTTTTCTCTATTGATAAAGATTTATGTCTTTTACATAAGTTTAGATATTTGACTCTGACTGATTACACCTTTTTTCTATGTTCCGTAAGTTTGGATTTTACTGTTGATCCCATAATGTGGTAAGCTATTAGTGATGTTTTAGTACATGGAGGATGTCCAGAAGACTGGAAATATTTATAGGATGTCTATTTATTGAAGCTAAACTGATTCCTATGCATTGCTTGGATATTTGCTAATCTAGTCTATTGTGTGCACATTGCACTTATTGCCGTGACGTTGTTGCCTCTTGTGGCAATTAGGGTTAAATGTCAGTTTGCTTTTTATGTAAAAGCTTCTATATAGTATTGTGTTATTCTCGTACCCATTCACTTCAAATAGGGAGAGGGTGGGCTTCTGCTGGAGTAACTCAATTTATACAACCACCAGTACGGTATGTAGGCGTTTACACCTTTTTCCAATATAATATGAAATCCATTAATCACTGTAAGATGTTTTGCTTTTCCTATATGTTATGTGTTCTGTTGAATCTTAGAAATTTTCATTTATACATCTTTCCAATGTCTGTTTTTGTACATGCTGTGTTTGTGTTTCTTTATTCCTCCATGTCCCAGTATTATGGGAAGTTCGCCATGGTTATTTTGTTAAAACAATTTTCTTGCAGAATCGTGTTAGAAATCCAGCAATGGCTGGAGGATACTCTCAGCAAGGTTATCAAGCGCGCCCTCCCACTGGCTGGGCTTCTGGTGGACCTCCAATGCAACAACCTGGTTATGGCTATGGACAGTCCGGAGCATATTCTGGCCCATCACCACAGTATAATGCTGCCCAGCCTCCTTATCCAGGCTATCCCCCTCAACCAACATCTGGTGGATATCCCTCCAATTGGGACCAGTCAGCTGCTGCACCAACTCAGCAGACTTCCCAGGGAAGTGGTTATGATTACTATGGCCAGCAACAACCATCACACCAACAACAAAATCCTGGTGGTCCCGCTGCACCCGCTGACAATGCTGGTTATAATTATGGCCAGCCGCCTGTTTCAGGCTATAATCAGCAAGGACAAGGTTATCCTCAAGAAGGCTACGGTGGGTATCATGCACCACCTCAGTCTGGGTATGGTCAGCCACCATCATATGATCAACAGCAGGGATATTCTGCAGCTGGCTACGGTAATGTGAGTAATCCAACTCAAGATGGACATACTTCCTCTTATGGATCTCAGGGGGATTCAGCCCAAGCACCGCCTCCTGTTCAGCAAGGATACAGTGCGAGTCAACAGCCTAGCCCTAACCCTGCAGGTTACCCACCGCAAGGGTCTACTCAGCCAGGCTATGGAGTACCCCCAACTTCTCAAACTGGTTATGGTAGTCAACCACCAGCTCAGGCTGGATATGGAGCTGGATATGGAGCACCTCCAGCACAAAAACCTCCTGCAAATCCCGCAGTTTATGGGCAAACCACACAGTCGCCCAGCACTCCTGGAGCCTATGGTCAGCCAGCACCTGTGCAGCCAGGCTACGCCCATTCTCAGCCTCCACCATCTGGTTATGCTCAGCCAGATTCTGCTACCCGTGCCCCATCATCTGGCTATGGCGCAGCTCAGGCTGGGTATGGGCCTCCATCCTATGGTGCACCACCCGTTGGTCAGCCAGGTTACGGGCAGGCGCCACCACCTTACAACGCATCTTATGGTGGTGGATATGCACAACCTCCTGCCTACTCTGCTGATGCCAATGCAAATGGGAACACTCGCGGGACATATGATGCTGCACCTGCTTCACAGGCTGCTCAGCCAAGTGGAGTTGCCAAAACTTCCCCACAAAGTTGATGTGTTACGGTGAGTGGGTTTTAACGGATTGGTTAGTGCCTTTGATGTTTTATTGTATTTTCTGTAGTAGCAAGGCTAGTTAGGTTAGTTTCTATGGGACATCGTATTTGGTCTTATGTGTTTGGTATTTTGGGTTTGTAAGGATATGATGATTACAAGAATTTGTTGGATCTTGCTCTCTCGTTTTCTATTTTCCCTCTGAATACTTGTCCAATCTTTTTCACTCTTGTTCAACTTCCTCTAAATGGCAGGTGTATTTGATTTGTGAAGTGACATTGAAAATCCAAGGGATCCCGTTGTTTGTTTATTATATTGTTTGATGTTTTGAAAGGGATTTTAACTTGAAACCGGTACTGTTTGTTTCAATTCTTTTGGACAAAAAAAACCCACCATCAGAATTGCGACAAATAGTAATGAGTCCGAAGGATTATTATGGGACCCAAAACCAAAGAAAGATTTAACTCGTTATTAACAAATTAGAAGGTTTTTATTAAGAAATAGAAAGATATGCTGAGAATGTATTGAACAGATTTCGAATAATAGTTGCTACAAACTTATTTCTAATAATAGGCACATTAGCACTTGAAAAAGATTGTATTTATTTATACCTGTTTACATTTATTTTTTTTAAAAACCTCTCCTGTCGGCGGAGATCTATCCCGGTGAAGTTTGCCAGATAGATCTGTACAGGTTCTCTTGGTTTTTTAAATAATTATTTTAGAAATATAAAAATAGATATTAATTTGCCTTTAAAAAAAAAATTAAAAAAGGACCCTTCTGTCTAGTTGCATTAATTTATAATAGATAGATATTAATTTGGTATAGCCGTGCGGGTATACAACTTAAAAGTTCGGCCATTATACAATATGCGAATTGTGTATTATTAAATTTTTTGTAAAAGATACATGTATTGAAAAATGAAAATTATGTATGTCTATGAATATAGCCGCGCGGCTATACGATTTATTTAAATAAGCGGAGTGAAGCCGGACGGCTATACTATTTATTTTAAAAATTCAAAAAAACCACGTATAGGCTGTCGGCTATACTATTTCTTTAAAAATAAAAATAAAAACGAGTACCGCTATACTATTTATTTAAAAAATAAAAAAAGGCGAGTTAAGCCAGCTCGGCTATATTATTTTAAAATTAAAAAACGGAGTACAACCGTGCGGCTATACGATTTTTTTTTAAAAAAGGAAAAATCGGGTCTAGCCGTTCGGCTATACTATTTCTTTTTTTTAAAAAATTAAAAAACCGAGTCTAGCCGACCGGCTATAAGATTTCTTTTTTTAAAAAAAATTGGAAAAATCGAGTCTAGCCGCCCGGCGATACTATTTCTTTTAAAAGAATTGGAAACGCCGTGTATAGCCGAACGGCTATAAGATTTCTTTTTTTAAAAATTGGAAAGAACCGGGTATAGCCGTGCGGCGATACGATTTCATTTAAAAAATTGGCAAAAACTGAGTACAGCCATTCGGCTATACTATTTAATTAGCATAATCTTGATTTCTCATTTTTAATTACTATATTTTGTAGTTATCATGTGATTATTATTTACTTAGTGAATAATTTGTATCTAAATATTTTATTAAAATAAAACAATTAATGACTATTTATTAAGTAATATAATTTATGAAGTTAATTAAAATATTTAATATTATTATTTACTGAAAAAATAATAATTAAAACATAATTACTAATGAAAGTAATTAAATAAGGCTAAGATATTATTTGATTAGTAAAAAGAAATTTTATTCAAAAAAATTTATTGACCTAAAGATCAAGTTCTAGTGGCAAGATCATCAAATTTTATTTAAAACTAAATCAAATAAAATATATTGCTGATTCTTGACATTGGAAATTGTTTACCAAAATGAAATTAGCCCAACAAAAAAACATGTGTAGCAAAATGAGTCGGGTTGCCCGATTTCATTTGGTACAATAAGGGGTGGCTTTGATGACGTGGAATGAATTTAGTGGCCAGAATGAACATCGGATAGACTTCACCGGACAGTAATAAATTGCACGCCAAACTTTGCTTGGTCGCTACTCCATGACTGTAGCGTAAAAAGCCAAATATTTCTACTGAAACAAAAAGAAAAAAAAGTACCAAAAGTTCTCTTGTAAACGAGAACAGAGCACCAGAGCAGCAAGGTATGTTGTGCTGTTCATGAATCTGCAATTTGATTCTCTACGCATTCGCTTGTTTCAGATTCTTCTTGCATATGATATATCCAATGTTTTTAATCTGTTAAATTCAACTCCCACAAAAACCCAAATCTGTCAAAGCATTTTTTGGCATGGTCTGGTCTGTTGGTTTGAAAATTTTCACTTTCAAATATGGTGATTTCATTTTGAGACGAGACATTAGTTTCAAGAAACCATTTTGGTTGGTTATCTATCTTTAATCCAGGGAAAGAAAAAAGAAAACTGATGATGGCCTCGAAGCTGGTTCAATTGCAAGGCAAAACTACTCAAGCTTCAAAGGTTGCGGCTGAGTATGGATCTTCCTATTACAAGCAGCTTTTGGAGAAGAACAGGCATTACATTCAGGAGCCACCCACTGTTGAAAGATGCAACCTTTTGTCCAAACAGTTGTTTTATACCCGTCTTGCAAGGTACACCTTGCTTGGCTTGCCCTGCCTGATTTCAAGAAAATTTTTATTAGAGTCACATTGCTTGGCTTGCCCTCTTGATCACTATCATTATCTTTTACAGTATATCAGGGCGCTATGAATCGTTGCGGAAGGAGGTTGATTCTGTCAAACAACTGTGGAAGAACAGGCAGGAGCTGAGGGTGGAAGATGCTGGGATTGCTGTCCTGTTTGGCTTAGAATGCTTTGCCTGGTTTTGTGGTGGTGAGATTGTAGGTCGGGGATTTAAATTCACTGGTTACCATATCTAGGTTCCGGATGGCCCTGATCTAATTAGTTGATTTTGTTTTCCATATTTAGATTCATTGTTATCAGAGAGATGAAACTCAGAGGAACGAATTTATTAACCCATCAACCATTCTCCATTTTAATGTTATATCTACCGCGCACGTACCATTATGCTTTGTTTGCACCTTATCTAGAATTGCACTTGAAAGACAATTTGTGGACTTTCTTAGACATACTAGTCAATGTTCAATTAATCTTGGCTCTCTCTGTGGAAAGCGACACTGTAGTTTTTCAAATTATTGGAAACCACCATAAAATTATGATACTCGGTCTTCAGAATCTATGCTTTCATGAATCAGAGCAACGTTCACCAAAGTTATTACAAAAAGAATATTATAAAAAAAATACGTATCCTGGATAAAGGCCTAAATACAAAACTTCTCTCTTAAAGACGTTGAGAGGAGGGATCTTTCGCCTTTTATCTATCTGTGTTGTACGAGAAAGCCAGTATAATATTGGGTAGTAAAATGTCGTAATATCCTTTAAATAAGGTGGTTCCTAAATGCCATTATCATTTTTGGTGAAAAAAACAAAATGAACGCCAAGAAGGAACCGAAGAACAGTTTGATAACATATCTAGCAGGGTCGTGATCAACTTCTTCTGAGATAGTTCTTGGGGTTGATATGGGTGTTGCCAGTGGTGCGGCTTCAATTACTGCATCTGCTAGATCCATAATAAATGAAGGAGTACAGCCAAGGGCAGGCACTCGGCCCCAATTCTCAATGCCGGATTCTAGGGCCAATTCCTTGTACTCCATATCAATCTCTTCAAGAGTCTCTATGTGCTCACTCACGAAGCTGGACAAGAAATAGATGTCAGATTTACTTAATTCTCTTTTGAGTGATATGAAGAACCGAAAATGTCAGAACCACAAACCAAATGGCATTCTCTAATAGCCCCTGGATATACACGACATCAGAGTATTATGATGAAGTGAAATACCTGACTGGAACAGCCAGCAGACTTTTCACACCTTTCTGGCCAAGCTCCACAAGAACTTCATCAGTGTAGGGCTTCAGCCATTGTACAGGACCAACTCGGCTCTGATCACAACCCAGCACAAAATAAGGAGGAAAAATAATCAGAAAACAACATTTACACAAGTTGGAGCCTTACATGGTAGACAGCAACCAACAATAGTTCTGAGAACCAAGAAAGCCAGAAAAGTAAAAGCTAGAACTCAGAAAATGGATTTTTATAACCAACCTGATAAGCAAGAGTATGTTCATTGTTAATCCCTCTAGATTTCAACTCTTTCATTATTAAGAAGATGCACTCCTCCATTTGATCTTTGTATGGATCTCCAGCATCCTTCACATAACTCTCTGGTACCCCGTGGGCACTGAAGAATATCATGACCTAAATTTCATACAAAATTAGTAATGCTTACCAGTGCTGTTAAGTTGGTGGAATAACCATACAATAAATTTGAAAAATATGCTTGATAGCATCATTTGACCAAAGAGAGAAAGAAATTTAATTGCATTGAAAGAGCCATTTCAGATGAGTCCGTGAATTAATCAAGCGCACCTGTTCAGGTTCAGAAAAAATTTCTAGCTCTTTGGAAATCAAATCAGCCATTGACTTAATATAGCCTTCACGTTGATACCATGAGTTTATAATAGAAACAGGCATCCTTGATAGGTAGGCGTCTTTCCTGCAAGATGGGCTAACATTCAGGAAAAATTGAACAATGTATAAAAATGTATGTAGTTACATAAATTGACAGTGAAATGTCACCTGAAAATATCTTGGAGCACACGAATGCTTGATCCAGTTGTAGAGATAGAAAATTGAGGATATAGAGGTAACACAACAAGCCTGGTTATTCTGTCTTTCTTAATCTGCCAAAGGTAATGGAAGAAATTTCAGTTATTTGATTCACTCAAATAGAAGATAGATGTATAGATTGAAGACTTTTAGGTGACAATTCTATCTTCTCACGTCATTTACATTAACCAAATCATGTAGCTTACTCCTTGGAAGTATTAATATATGATATGTGTGTTACACATAGAAATTAAAGACTCACTTGCTGAACTGCTTCCTCAGTGAATGGGTACCAGTAACGCATTCCCACGTAGACATTTACAGGCAAGTCTTTTGACTTCAAAGCCTTTTTGAGTTCATTTGCCTGTAAAAAGTAGCAAAAACCATGTAAGTGCGAAAATAAAAGAACAAACCAACAAATAGTCTATTTAATAATAATTCTTGCAGAACCATTATTCTTTTCTTTGGTAAGGAAACAAGACAGATTATACAAACAAAACTAAAGGAAACATTTCAACAGGACGAGTTATGTATCTGCTCTACCTGCTCATCTGTTATTTTTCGCAACGGTGAACCACCTCCAATAGCAGCATACCCTTCTTTGCTTTTGGGAGCTCGAAGCACAGAAATTAATTTTGCCAATGGTTGCTGGAGAAACTGAAACAACCTTGGGAGCCGGATGATATCCTGGCTCACACAACATGGCAATTTATCAGTAAAAGTGTGTAAACAACTCATGGGGACACAGATTAGGCAAGCAAGCTTGAGTAGAACATACCGGATCCGCAAATAGATTGAACAAAAATGGTTGAACATCATGAAGCGTCTCTGGTCCTCCTAGATTGAGGAGGAGGACTCCCACTTTCTCTTCCGCGGTGTGGGAATGAGGTTCTACAGTCCCAGCGTAAGTGTATACACCCGCAGGACAATATGTTTCCCCAACAGGGCTTTTCTTACAAGAATGTGATACCCCAAACATGTCTCCTTTATCGCTTGGCGTAGAGCACGAAACCGTGAGCTGTTTCGGAAGTCGCAATCTCTTGGATGAATGGCAAGAGTCAAACCCAAGCGATCTAGAGGAAGAGCACGACCTGCCACTAAATACATATACACATTTACTCAATATCTCAGCTCAACAGAAACTCCGAAATTTTTAAACCAAAACCCAATTGCCATAACTCAAAGCTTCTATTTGGTGGTTGTAAAAACATAAACTTCAATACGATTTTCCGGGAAACAAGAAAGCCATAGAAGAGAAAGCTTTCGCTCAAGAAATTTAAGGGCTTTCTTGCATAATTTATATAAATATATGAATCTAATACCATAAAAGAGCCAACTTTACTGATCCAAACACAAAAGCACAGACAATTTTTTACGATCGGAGGGCTTACATCGATAATTTATGATCCGAATGGGAAAGCTTCATTTGGGGAAGAACCCCGGAGAATGAGGTGGCGTCCATGGCGTTTGGCGTCGAAAAAAAAAACCCAAACTTTTCTCAAAACCTTGAAGCGTAACAGAAACGTCTCAGCACTTCTTTAACAAAGTCGCTACCCCTCTCTCTCTCTTAACCACTCTACTACCTACCTTCTCACTCTGCTACTAATTCTAATTTTTGGTTGAATACGTGTTTGAATAATTGGACCAAAAACTAACGAATACGTGTTTGAAGACTTCAACCCCCACGTCAGCGAGTCCAACGAAAAGGCGGTTGCCATTGTTTACCCTTTTTTTTCCGGGAAGTTCGCCGTCACGTGACGTCACGTGTTGAAATAGTTGGGCCTGGGAAAGCTCAAAGCGATGTGTTTAGCCCAATATAAAATTCAGGCCCAACTATTTCAACACGTGGGCTTTGAAAGTGGGCTTTGACTTGATGCTTCTTCCTCGTACAAGTTTAGGGTTAGGTATGAGCACCTATAAATTCGTAGTTAGCTCAGTCACTCATGCCTCTTCTCTTCCATATCTGCCTACTTTTCCATCTGGAACTCAAAAGTTGCCTGCAGTTGTTCTCCGTTACTTAGATTTACAGTGTTGTATGAACGCTTCTTGGTAATTAAATTTCATTTGAATTATATATATTTGTTTTGGGTTCTGGTTTCTGGGTTGTGGGTTGTGTTTGTTTTCAGAAATTGAAACCGGGGCTCCATATTCGAGTCAACAGCAGGCGCCCATATTGGTGGCGACCCGACTGCCGCTTGGAGCCGATAGTAAAATTATAGTAGTGGGTGAAGATCCTTGAAACTCAAACCCAGTTTGTTTCATGACACAATATCCACTATACATTTTTTCATCTCTCTGCTGTTTTATTTAGACTGGGATTTATTTTTCTTAAAAAAATTTGTTATGATTGCAATTTTTTTAACTGGTAAGGTAAAAGTGAAGTAGGAAGAAGTGAATTTTGGCACTCCAGTCAGACACGGGTGTTTGTTACTGAATTACAATAACAATCAACCTTTTGCATGGTGCCTATAAAGAGCTACTTATCACGATTGGAGGAAGGCCATTCATTTTCCACGCTTTCCTTCAAATTCAAAGCAGCTAAATCTTCTGAAGTATTTTCTGTTCTAGCTTTCAGTACATCAAGCAAATTGGTTTTGTTTTTAAAATTACAATCTGTTGGGTTTTGATTCTTTTGGGTCCCTGAAAACAATGGGATAAAAGACCATAATAATGTTGAATCACCAGAAGCAGAGATTAAAGAAGCCTCCCTGTAAATGAAAATAATGAAAAGAGTGTTTTGGGCTCTAAATATACGAGTCAACAGCAAGAACCAATTAAATTCCATGGTGCCTTGACTGCCGCTTGGAGCCAATATGATATTGCCAATAGGAGAAGATAGCTTGAAATGCTCTCTGGTTTCATGCTACAATCTTTGGCTACATTCATTCATGATTCGACATGTCTCACTTCCCTCATAATGTGTTAAAATTGGAGCTTCAGTGATTGGATTTGATGCCTTGTTCAATTGTTTTGTGACTGGTAATTTGCTGTTTCAATGTTTGCGTGGTTGCAGCCTTGCAGATTGCATATTAGACCCGTGATTATCTACAACGGGTCTGACGGTTGTGTTGAACGAGACGCCACTTCACGATTCACTGGCATTAGATTCGCCTTTGGTTTCCTCGATGAGTCAAGACTCACCAATCCAAAAGAAGCCGAGGCCTATTGGCCAAAAGGCGGCGAAGCGAAGAGAGGGAGTAATTCTAGCAAGGCGAATCTAGGAATCTGACTCATTGAGGAATTCTTAATTCCTTGTATTGGTTTTCTTTGAGTGAATAAAGAAAGCATTCAATAAAATATATTTTTATTCAACATATTTCATACATCAAACAAAATATAATTAAAAGAAAAAACCACAACCGAAGCATAATTTAAAAAAAAAAACCACAATCAAAGTATAATTAAAAATAAAACATAAACACAGTAATCGCCATGATTCAGGCAATGCAACAATAAGTTCATTATCAGAAAGGTTGTTTACATCATTGTGTAGTTTGAAGTCCTAGGTTTCAAACGCATCACTTTAATCTATATTATCATAACAGACTCTGCAGCAGACAAAGGGATGAAGAAAGTGCGGCTGCAACCAACAAAATCCACCACAAGACTTTTCTTTTCAGGTTTTTGGATTTAAATACTAGTACAGTCATGATTTAAACTTAAAGAACTCATAATCACAGGACATCGATTTCTAAGATGGCACTGATTGAAGAATGATCAGGAGTCATTAATCAGGTTCTGGTGTACATAAGAAGAGCCAAAAGCTACACTCAGCTATCCTCAAATTGCAGAAACCGAAACCAGAACCAAATTTTAAAACTGGGAAATGTCACAAATTCGCAAGTATCCTTAGAAGCAACAAGAACAATCAAATGGACAAAGCGGTGTGCTTCCAGCATCTGCCTTATTAATTCCCAACTCTTCTTCTGTATAGATAGCAAAGCCATCCTGCCTTCTCTTTTGAGAACTCGACAACTTGTTCAGAGCTGCCATCCTGGCCACATTTTGAAACTTTGAATACCTAAAGAACATCTTTGGGCAAGGAATCCCCATTTAAAATTTAATTGGAATAATTAACAATATATATCATTACTTAACTGTACTGAAACTTTGATTTTTTTTTAATTTTTTTTTAATTTTTTTTAACGGAGAATCAGCGGGATAGCAGATGGTAAAATAAAACTAAAAAAGAATAAGGTTTCCTTCATTGTGCTCAATTTTTATAGTTTCATGTTCTAGAAAATTAAACATGGTTTTTGAAGCAGTACAAAAGGCAGTGAATAAATACCTTGTCTGGTACTCCAACACTCCTTGAAAATTTTCAACCAAATCCCACTCCTTAAAACAACAAGAAGACGTGTTTCAAGGCTGAAAAGTTGAATTTTTCAAGTAACTAGAGGACAAGCTAATATGAAAGCAATACCTGAATGGCTTGCATTCCTTGAACACCTGAAAAGTCAATGCCATCTTGGTTGATGAACCTATTTTAAGCAATGCAGTCTTGTTTTTAGTATTTTCAAATACAAAAAATGCGATGAAGTGAACATTGAACACCTATCAAAGACTGTTTTGATATTTATTTTATTCGAACTACACCAATATAAGAAATCCGGGCCTTCCGTAGAAAATATTGAAGTTCGAACTTATGCACTCATCTTGGAAGTACTTGTTCCATCAACACCACCAATAATTGAAATGCCCGTGATCTTGACATCTGATGTAAATCTATCAGAAATAAATGAACAAAATATAACTCAATCAGAATGTAAAGTAATGACAGCAGAGATAACTTCGTCTTAGAATGGTCGGTTTTAATAAAATTTCTCACGATCCAACACAAATGTTTCAAAATTAAGTACAGCTAGTTTAACAACAGATATAGCAGATGAGCACAAGAACAAAAGATAATTATAAATGACACACAAATTAATTTGTTTTAGGTGAACCTGGAGATGCTACTAAGGTTGAATCCCATACTCAAACTCATACAGATTCAACTATGGAGATCTAACAAAACATGTTACCATTGAAATTGAATGAAAATATGGAAGAATGGATATAACTACTCAACCAATGGATCTCCCTGTCCCCAATCCATTTCATGTTTATGCATTCTTTTAACTCATGTCCTGAAGATAACACATAAAACAACAAAAATGGATACTCACAGAATGTAAACAAGTAACTCAGGATCACCCTCATTGCTCTCCAAGTGTTCCTGTTGCAGAAAGTAGGATCAGATAAGGCTTCACATGCCTAATAATTGAAACATAAATTAAAACCAATATACATGGTAAATCTGAACTGAACCTCAACCAATGGTTCATTATCAGAAAAGTTGTCATGTCAAAGTATAGTTTTAAGTCCTTGATGCAAAAACGAACGACTTTAATCTATGATAACCACAGACTAAGGTTCTGCTGCTGTAAACAAAGGGTGAAGAAACCTCAAGACTTCTCTTTCAAATTTTGGACTTAAATACTTGGTACAGTCATGATCTAAAATTAAAGAATTCATTATCAGAGTACAGAGAGTTATAAGATAACACTGGTTGAAGAAAGATCAAATTCATTTAATCAGGTTCTGTTGTACATAAGAAAAGCCGAAAAATACACTCAGCTATCCTCAAATTGCAAAAACCAAAACCCGAACCAGAACCAAATTTTTTTATGACTGGGAAATGTCATGAATTCGCAGGTATTTAGAAGCAACAAGAACAATCAAATGGACAAAGCGGGGTGCTTCCAGCATCTGCCTTATTAATTCCCAACTCTTCTTCTGTGTAGATAGCAAAGCCATCCTGCGTTCTCTTTTTCGGTTTAGAAGGCAGGTCCCCAAATCCATCATCTCTAATCCTTTTGTCTTTCTTCTTTTTATTCAGCTTGTTGGGGTTTTCTATCCCATCTCCATTTGGATTTTTAGGCTTTTTAGACTTTTCGGTTTCAGGTTTCTTCCTCTTCTTCCCTGCGAATATTTCATCGATCTCAGAAGTTCGCTTTTTGGCTGAAGATGATGGTTTTTCAATCCCATCTTCAACTGGTTTTTTAGCCTTTTCAGTTTCAGGTCCCTTCCTCTTTTTCCCTGCGAATACTTCATCAATCTCAGAAGTAGGTTTTTTGGCCGAAGATGAGGCTTTTTCCTCTTCTACAGTAGATGTATTATCTTGCATCTCTCTGGGAGTTTTTGATTTACTCTTTTTGCCCATCTTATGGATCCAAAAGCTGCATGTCATCCAGATTACATTACTGAGAATTGACAAAACAGAGATTTAAAAAGAAAAAATGGAATGGAAACTTTCCATCCAAGAACAGATTACTCAAAAACTGGAGCCCCTGGAGGCAACAACTCCTTTTGGGTCAATTTGCCAGACTAACTCAGTTTGTAAACAATCAAAACAACAGAAGGAACATGAAACTGGAAATTTAGGTTACAGGATATCTGCTCCTCATCAGCTTCCTAGCAACCAAACATAACACAAACCAAAAACAGAAAATGGAAAATACTGATTTCAATTGCAATTTCTCAGCTTGTAGGCTTTCAATTTTCATAGAGACGAATTTCAGTGAAACATGGACTTGATCAAAAGAAATAGCCCAATAATTATCACAAAAGCTCCAATTTTGAGAACTCGACAACATGTTCAGTGCTATCGAAAATTTGATAAATTTCAAACAAATGCACTGTAAGTCACAGAAACAAACACAGGATAGTAAAGAAAGAACGCACAGAAAACAAAAAAGAGTTCGAGTTGTTGGGAAGCGCTAAACTTTAGGTTGTTGATAAACAGCTAGAAAGAGTGAGTCGCTAAAACACTATCTTGATGTACCTGCAGAGATACCAGAGACTAAAAGATACAAGCGAGCTTTGTTGCAGAGTTGCGAGCGACGAAGTATAAAACCATGTATTTGTTTTTTGTTTCTGGCGAGCTTTTTAGCTAAAACCCTAGCTTGATGTGGAATATAATTCGTTCCCACGATTTATGATTTAAAAATAATTTGGGTTTTGCAATTAAATTAGCCCAATAATAATAATAACCTTCGTGGCACCTTGATAGTTGAGACTATCTCTAAATTTACTTAACAATAATCCCATATGAAAAGGAGTTAACTTATTTAATAAATGAATCATTTGGATTAATTTGGACAATATCTTATTTTAACGATTCTATCAAATTCCAATCCATTTTGTACAAAATAATAAGCTAATCCAGCTCAACATTCCAATGGAAAAGGAAGAGAATGGCTGGCTCTTTTTTTTTTGGGGTCTGAGAATGGCTGGCTTTAATTTTAAGAGTAGCATTGTGCAACCCATAAAAAAGAAAGCCAAAGAAACATAGCACAGGAAAAGGAGCCACAGCAAATAAAAGGTTTGTGATGTGACAACAATTCAAGTAATTTCCTTGGTGTTTATATTATCGATATACAAAGAGTGTTCCATTCTTAAGAAGCACAGCAGGTCACAGTTAGCATAACTTGTTCATTTCAGCCTTTGAACCGCTAGCATGGCTTGAGTTTCCTCATTCCACATGTGAAAGACCCCCACCTTCTGCCTTTGTCCTGCAAACAAGCACACAATTGACAAACAACAAAACCACATACATCAGTTCTTTTCTCCACTGGCAAATAGTCTCAAATTCTTTCGACAAGACATGAAACTCTACATTTTTTTTACTGATAAACCCACAAAGAGTAACCCACATTTCTTTGAAAAAGACCAAATTTTCCATTCCACAAGGGTAACGAAAGCTTACTTGTGATCGGAAGGATTTGGCCTGAGTTCATAAACAATTGTTGCAACAACATCCCTCTTCAACTGTTCATCAAAGAAAAGAAAATGATGTATTAGTTATTTGCACAATTAATGCATCAGAATATGCTCATATGGAATGAAATTACCTGAGTAGCTTCGCCTTTAAAGCCAATGTACTCTATCTTAGTTGTATCACCACCAAAACTATCAGGAAAATGCAATGTGATGCTGGCCACGTTTTGAAACTTGGAATACCTAATTATATGGAGAAATGTAATATTAGAGGGATAGCGGATGGTAAAATAAAACTCAAACAAAACAAAAAACAACAAAAGAAATCATTTCAGGGGCAATTCAAAGTAATTTACCGTCACTGTTCAATTTGAAAAAGAATAAGATTTCTTTCATTGTGCTCAAGTTTTATAGTTTTCATGTTCTAGAAAATTAAACAACATGGTTTTTTAAGTAGTAGTAGTCCAAAAGGCAGTGAATAAATACCTTGTCTGGTACTCCAACACTCCTTGAAAATTTTCGACCAAATCCCACTCCTTAAAACAATAAGAACACATGTTTCAAGGATGAAACGATGAATTTTTTCAATTAACTCTTGAACAAGCTAATATGAAAGCAATACCTGAATGGCTTGCATTTCTTGAACATCTGAAAAGTCAATGCCATCTCGGTTGATGAACCTAATTAAGCAATGCAGTCATGTTTTTAGTTTTTTAAAATATAAAAAATGTGATGGATATTGAACATCTGTCAAAGACTGATTTGATATTTATTTTGTCAGAATCATATAGAACAAGACTCGTGATCAGTACTATTAAAGTTTGAACTTACACCCTCATCTTGCTAGGACTTGTTCCATCAGCACCGCCAATAATTGATATGCTCTTGATCTTGACATCTGATGTAAATCTATCACAAATAAATGAACAAAATATAGCTCAATCAGAATGTAAAGAAACAACATCAGAGATGACTTCATCTAATAAGTCGGTGTCAGAATGGTATGCTTTAAGAAAACTTATCAAGATGCCGACCAAAAGTTTGAACAATAAGTACAACTATATTAAGCATCAGATATAGGAGATGAGCACAAGACAAAAGGATAATTATAAATGACACACAAATTAAGCGTTATGTTTTGTTTTAGGTGTACCTGGAGATGCTACTAAGGTTGAATCCCTTACTCAAAACTCATACAAACCCGACTATGGAGATCTAACAAAATCAGACACATGTTACCATTGAAATTGAATGAAAAGATGGAAAAATGTGTAAGAGTACTCAACCAAAGGATCTACCTGACCCCATCCATTTCGTAATTATGCAGTCTATAACTCATTTCATGAAGATATCACATAAAACAACAAGAGGGGACACTCACGGAATGTAAACAAGTAACTCGGGATCACCCTCATTGCTCTCCAAGTGTTCCTGTTGCATAAAGTAGAATCAAAATGGGGCTTCATATGCCTAGTAATTGAACATAAATTACAACCAAAATATAAGGTAAACCTGAACTAAATCTCAATCAATGATTCCTACAAATTTTCGTAAATGTCATTCTGAGCTTTCAAGTAGATTAACTTATGAAGTTTGGATCATTACTTTTAACAAGGACGTATAGAGAAGTAAATAGATAGCTCATTACCCCAGTAGAATTCAGCCGTTGCTCCCAAGCTTTAAAAACCGACTTCACACTTCCTGGAACTGCCTCATTCAAAGCCGAAACCTAAAAACAGAATAAGACATTCTCTCAAGGAGAACACGTCATCATGTCAATCAGCAAGAGGAAGCTCCAACGAAATATTCATTTACAAAATAACAAAGTGTGAAAATATTGCAAAGTATAAATCACCCCACATCAACAATCATCAATTACCAGTCATATAGCCACCCACAACCAAACTTCCCAAACCACAACACACAAGCACCCGTCTCCCAAAAAAAAACAATAAAAGTTTCTAAACATTTCTGGAAACTAGCAATAACAGCATCTGCATGGAGTATTATTAACAAAGCTTCATATCCAACTATTTTCATTTACAACCAAGAAGCCTACACATAAGAACCATTATGCTTACGGAGAAATGCGTATGAGATTCAGCATTTGAGCTTGAGGGTTTATGTTGATCACTGTTCTTTCAACTAATTTTCATTTGGGCACTTTCAGATAAGACCAAAACAGTCACAAAATGGGAGCAGACTGAAACATACCAGTATACGCAGAGCAGCAGTGTGATGGCTAACAACGAAAACATGGGAATAGAAAAATTAAGACTGAGCAAAGAAAAAGGCAGAGAAATAGGACCTTGGGGAGGTCTATATGCTTGTAGAGAGACCAATCAGAAGAACAATCATGCTCTTCGCAGTCACCAAATTTCTAAGAAGCAGCACAAAAAGACGAAGAAGAAATAGAAGCAACCAAAAATAGGGAGCGAACCGTGGCTTCTTCTGTGCATAGTGCCGAAAAGGCCCTTGTATCGGTAGCATAAAACGCACCGTTTACCTGTACATATATGTCCTTTTACTGTGAAACGCAAATGAGATTGTTTTCGCAAAACCTTCTTCTTTGCTTTCATTTGGGAAATTCAGCTCTGAGCTGTGTGAGAGATGGAGGAAATAGTAGAAGGGGACGGGTCGGGTGCGGGCAGATACACGCTGAGACCAACGAGGCTAAGCAACGAGGACATTCTGTTCTGTATAGATGTTGACCCAGAGTCTATGGTGGAGATGAAAGCCGCGATGGGCCCAAATGGGCGACCTTTAACCCGCTTGGACTCGATCAAGCAAGCCATACTTGTCTTCATCAACGCCAAGCTTACCATCAACCCAGAGCACCGATTCGCCTTTGCCTGTCTCGGAAAATCCGCGTCTTGGGTAGGTTCTCTCTGTTCATCTCTCTCTTTATTGCTTGGTTTCTGTTCGGTTTCGGAGAAAATTTGCGATCAGGGGCAGAGGATTTTATGGTTCTTATGTGTTTTTGAGGAATTGAACTCCTGGAAGCCATGATTATGGCTTTGGGTCATAGTTTTGAGGTTTTTTGTGATATATAAGTTTATGGGTAGATTGAATTTTTCATTTGCAGGAAATGTAAGCAATTGCATGCCATGAATTTGGTTTCTGGATGGATCAATGAAGGAAAATTAGTTTAAATCACTATTTTCAAGTAGCCCATTGTACAGAGTCTCACCAGGTCAAAAACGTTTTGATACCATGAAAGAGTTTAGACAGAAGTGTGAAACCCACGATACAATATGGGGTTGCTGTGCATGTATATTTATAAGTACTACATCGGTAAACAAGAGTTGGATATGAACACTACTACTGAGAAGGCTTATCAGAGAATACTAATGATGAAGCCTTGAGATAAAATACATGATAAATATAAACAGATAAACACGTGAGGAAACTAAGCAGGTGGCACTTCTATCAGTTTTCCTTTGATTAAGCATTGGTCACTTTTATTGAATGCGGGTGAGAAATCAATTCCTTTACTATAACTGTTAAGGAGATTTCAGATCTTGATCATAGTTTCGAAGTGTACTTTCCAAGAATCATCCACATCCCTTGATCATTTTTGGTCCTAGACTTATTTTATGGGGTGCAGTACCAAGAATCGTTCACATACCTTGCTGTAGTGTTGTGTTTTGATGCATGATATACATAATTTTCATGCAAATATCCCATTAGTAGTAAATATTTATGCAGTGTAAGCAAACCTTCTGCAGGTTTTTGTTCAAAAAACTCAATTTATCCTTTGTGTCTGTTTGTTTGATTTATGTTTCTGTAATTGATTTGGAACCTTTTGTTTTTCATTTTTATGAAGCTTCGGAAAGAGTTTAGCAGTGAAGTCGATTCTGCTATTGCTGCATTTCGAGTACTCTCAGCTACTTCATCTTCTAGTAATGCAGATCTTACCAGTCTATTTCGAGTAGCAGCTCATGAAGCAAAGAAATCTCGTGCTCAAAACAGACTTTTAAGGGTGGTAAGCAGTGGTTGGCTTCACTTTTCATGCTATTACATTGGTTAATTATTACATCCGTGCCATTGTAATATTCCATTTTATCCCTTCCATGATGTTGAAATTTTTGTGTGTTGATTGCTAAAGCCTGACATGCTTGCCCTTAGATTCTTATTTACTGTAGATCATCTGTAAGACCAAATCATCAATGGCCTGTGAACCAGAAACTCTTCACTCTGGATGTAGTTTACCTTCACGACAAGCCTGGACCTGACAACTGCCCTCAAGAGGTCTATGATTCACTTGTGGATGCCCTGGAACTTGTTAGCGAATATGAGGGCTACATCTTGGAGAGCGGTCAGGGATTAACTCGAGTTCTCTTCCGTTACATGTGTATGCTGCTATCACACCCTCAGCAGCGTTGCCCACAAGACCATCTGGACATACCTAAGCCTCTTGCGAAAAAGTTGCCGGCAGCAGACTCAACGACTACTGATGATAGTATTGTAACTGTATCCGGCATATCAGAAGTTCAGAACATTAGAAATTAATTTCACTGGGGTCATGTTGCTTCTAAAAGTCTCATATGTATGTAGTTTGTCTGATGTTGATGTGAACCTCTTGTTGAGTGAGAATGAGCAGCCGATGTGATTTTGATCCTGTCTGTCTGTACAAATTGTGAATGTTATGAATCCCAATGTTTATTTTAACCTATCTGACAAAGATTTCTTTATGACATTCAAGATCACGTAAAATATAGCAAAAGCAAGAAGTTCTTAGTACTAGTTTGTATGTGTATCGCCATTAAGAGCAAGTCCAGCGCCTCACTTGGCCCGGGGGAAAGGCTGCCCGACGCAGCCCGACTTTGCTCCAGCGCAGGGCCCGTAGCCCAATTTGGTGGCGGGTCCCACGAGCCCGAGGAAGCCCAAGGGCAAGTCTTGCCCGGGCTGAAGCCCGAGTTGGCTGACGTCAGCGCTGGCGTCACGCTGACGCCAACG